GGTCTAGTGGAAGGTGTCCCTGCTGATGGCAGGGGGGTTGGAACTGGATGAGCTTTAAGGTCCCTTCCAACCCAAACCAGTCTGGGATTCTATGATCTTTCTTGTGCAGTTTGAGGTGATGATGCTGGGAAGGGGCATGGTGTGGGGGCAGATAACGGGATGGCATAGAAACCCAGCTGAGTTATTTCAGGTTCCTTCCCTCCAGGGAGTGCTGGGGAGGCTGCATGTCCCATCTCCATGCAGGTGAGTGCTGGAGGAGGCAGCTCAGGGTTGGGGTCTGGGCTGTGTCCCAGCACGGGCAGGCGTGTCGGGGAGAAACGAGAGCGTCTGCTGGCTCTGACTCTGCTTGTCTCTTGCCCAGGCCGTTTGCTGAAATCTGCACTGAGGCCAAACACACAGGTAAGGAGAGGGCTAAGGGATAATGTGGCTTTCCCTGCCCTGTGGCAGAGAGAATGTACAGGCAAAAGGGATGGACAGGGGCTGTGGGGAGATGTTCAAACCCCCTGTGCCTCCGGGGTACACTGGGGAGAAGATTCTACCTGGAAAAAGAGCAATCAGGCTCAGTGTCTGCTCAGGAGCAAACCATCCTCTTAGACATTGCACTTCTGTGAGCTGGGGAGGGAATGGGCTGTTAGACTCAAACTTTCAGCATGTTCTAGAGGATTTGATTATCCCTTTCCCATTAGCAATTTACTCACCACGAGCAATTTATTCACTGGTTAAAACCCTTAATTTGAGCCGTCATTTAGCAGTTGAGCTTCTAAGGAAACAAGGTTTCTGTGATCACTGCGAATGCGTTTCTCTCTCTGTCCCATCCTCTCCAATAAATCCCAGGCAGTTTTAATCAAATGTGTCAGAATTAGCAGCCCCAGAGATAATTAGCATCCTATTAGTTTTATGAAAATAAGTGGCTTGGTAGAGGAGAGAGATCTGGCAAGTGAGAGCATGCCTGCAACTTGATGTAAGAAGAGATGTATGAGAAGCTTCATCGATGCAGATATCTATGGGGATATCATAGATGCAGATATCTATGGGCATATCATCATCAGAGCTGGTACCTGCAGAGCCCCAAAGCATCCAGCACGGACTCAGGTCTGTAGGATATCAGGCTCTGCAAGTGCTGGAGTTTGGGATTTGCTGATTTTTGGGGATTTTCTTCGACGATGACTGAGGAAAGCTGGCAGCTCCGTGCCAGGTCATGATGGCCAAGGCCGTGTCACCAATGGCAGCATAGCAGATCATGGTGGGGGGATGCTGAGTGGGAGGTGAGGTCAGAGGGTGGGATGGGTCCCTGCATTTAGGGGCTGCTTGCAGGGCTCAGACACCTCATGCTTTCCCTCTCCCTGCAGAGAAAGACACCAGCGTTCCCAAACGGAAGCGGAAGAGGATCTCCGAAGGGAACTCGGTATCTTCCTCTTCCTCATCTTCCTCTTCTTCCTCTTCCAATATGGAGTCTACGTCATCAACAAATCAGATCTCACTTGTGGTAAAGCCTTCCAAATATTAGGGGGGTTACTGCCTACGTATCTTTCTGCTTCAGGATGCTGCTCTCTGCTCTCCTCGCACCGTCACCACCTCCCTCCACCTGACAAACACTATAAAGTGTGATGTAAAATGGCACAAGCAGGTTTGGCAAAGGAGGGGACGCACCTTTGGGGCTGCCTTTTCCTGCCGGGTTTGTCTGGGGGAGGTCAGCAGAGCCAAGTGCCCACCGCCCCTCCAGGCTCTCCCGCATCAATCCTGCCGAGTGCTGTGGGGGAATGCTCAGCGTTAGCAGGAGCCACACATGGGACAGGCTTGAGCAAACCCCCCAACCCCCCTGGGTTAAAACACCAGTGCTGGTGGTGTCACCTCAGCTGGTGGTGTCACCTCAGCCCTGTGGTACCTCTCGGCAGGACCCGGCGGTTCCCCCATGGTCTGAGCTGTGCCAGGAGCATCGCTCCGGCTCCGTCCCGGGAGCGTTGCAGAGCTCTGGTGTACAGTGAAACTGCAAAAATAGGAAATGAAATCAGGGAGATGCATCCAACTGCTCTCCCTCAGGGCTTGGCTTATGTTATCAATCATACCAAATGCTTTTTAAAAACACTTAATTTTTTTTTTTTTTTAAAAGCAAGAGATATATAAACTTAGAAGGATTTTTTATCAGGTTTCCCAGTGGTGTTTTGGTTTGGGGTTGGTTCTTTTATCTTATTTGGCAAGTGGGAACAACAGCCCATGTCAGAACATGTCAGAGATTTGATGTATGCATGGTTTGGTGTTGTGTCCTAACAGAGACTTTTGCCTTCTTTTTCTCTCCCTCTCTTGCAGCAATGGCCCATGAACATGTACATGTTAGACTATGGTGGTCTAAACGTCCAGATCCCAGGACCTATTAACTATTAGACCTCAATACCGAATAAGAACCTCAAATGAAAGAATAAATAAATAAATGTAATTTATGTAAAAAGTGTATATTCCAATATGTATCAATGCCTTTTAGTTTTTCCAATGATTTTTACACTATATTCCTGCCATCAAGGCCTTTTTAAATGAAAATAAAAAGTGTTGCCTTGCTCTTAAAAGTACTTATTTTATTACGTATATTATTGATAAATGGCATTTATAGGTAAGAATAAGTGCAGGAGAGCACCCCTGGATGGACCTTGTCATTCTTTGGCTGCTCAATAAAATCCTTAGTGTCACTAGAGCTTGAAACCAAGAGGTTTGACACATTTTAATGCTTCATTTAATTTAGATCAAAGGTGTAAAAATTTAGGTACAGAGCAGCAGGAGGAGTGGTACCAAAGTACAGCGGCAACAGACAAGGGAACCAGCCCCCAGCAGCATCTGAGACCTGCGAGTCCTGTTGGCTCTGGAGCAGAAGTGGGTTTGGATGAAGCAGGAAGGAGGTTCCAGGCCCCTCAAGGAGCAAGACCCCCCTGAGCCCTCTCGTCTCCGGTCTCCTGCAGCCCCAGGCTTGGAAAGGCACAGAAGCAATTTAAGTTGTGAGCGTTTAACCAGCTTCTGAACCAGGAAAAGATTTTCATCCAGTGAAGTTCCTCACTATTTATGATTTTCTGAGAGGCTTTGATACCTTATGGGGCAGAAGCTCCTGCAGTTACAGGCTGACCCTACTGATGCTCTACTGGTTCCATAACACTGGAGCAAGATGCCAGTGGCATCGCTAGAGAGTGGCCAGGGGAGCCCTGAGGCTCCTCTGTGCACCTGGGGCCTCTTTGCCCCATAAAATCACAGAATCATTAAGATTGGAAAAAACCTCTAAGATGATCCAGTCCAACCATCAACCCAACACCACCATGTCCACTAAACAAAGCCCATGTGCGAAGCAACCCAGTAAATTGAGGGCTGTTGTTTGTAATTCCTGCAATTTGACTTTCATTCCACTCGTAGAGTTTGGCAGCAGCAGCTGATGGCACCGACTGCTATTGCTGACCACGACAAGCATTTAACTCAGGCTTTGTGTCCGCTGAGAGCTGCGCACGGGCGAGACGCTGTGGGAGCTGATCCTGGCATGAGGGCAGCATAAGAAGCCCACAAGAAGAAACATCCCATGGGTCTGTAGGTAAATGCAGCCCAGCAGGAACCCCCAGGGAAGCGAGATGCCCTTGGGGCTCGTGGCGTCGGGGTGGGGTGACCGTTGCTGAGTGTCCCTACCTGCTGAGGGATGGGTCACAGACTATTCATGGAGCAAACCTGACCCGAAAGCAGCAGCCGTGGTCTGCTGGGGGGGTGGATGGTAGCGGACACAGTATCAAAGTCACTTGTGACAGCTTTTCTGAGTGCAATTTGCTGCTTTATTTGTTTTATGGGTTTTTGGTCTGCTCGAGTCCTTGTCTTTTCAGGCCACAGGAAGGTTTTGATGGTGGGCAGAAGCGTTTCAAGGCAGCTGCAGTTTTATTTCCTGTCTCTGGACTTGCATTTGCTTTGGAGTTAGATGCAAATGATCACATGAGATAATAAAAGCCCAAACAAATGTAGGAGATGGCACAAAGGTGGCAGCCAAAAAAAAGAGCAGAGATCTGTATCCGTGACCCCAATTAGACATACAGCTTGACATCTGAGCAGTTGGCATCAAAATCTGAAGTCTTTCTTGTCTCTGCCTGATGCTCAAACCTGTGGCATCTCCAATTAGGAAACAAAGAAACACAATTCAGGGGTAAAAATACAATTTTCTCTTCCCAGCTTTCTGAAAGGGGCTTATTCACAGATCAAATCCCACCAAGTAGGTGTCTCCTAAGAGGGCTCACTCATTATATTTTGACTTTTTTTTTTTCTGTTAAAAAATCAAGGTCTGATGCTGTAGCACCAAAGGCAGCAGCAATGTTTGGTAATGAGTGGAGATATTTGAGGCTGCCCCAGGTCTGCTGTCGGTCCCGGTGTCCCATGGATGTGCCAGCGGTGGGGGAAGGCTGCTCGCAGGGTGTAGGTCTGGAGCACTGTGCCCTGTATGGGACCCTAATTACTGCTGCTGAAAGGCAGTGGAGTTAAATTAGGGCATGGGAGCTATGCTGGGGTCTAATAATTGTGATCAGAAAGCCAGATGCAATCAGAAAGGTTGGAAATGTGAGGGTGAGTGGAAGCTGAGCAGGGAGGGAGCGCAGGGCTGTCTCCCCGCTCTGCTGCTTCCCTCTCCCCAGCTGATCCCTGGCTCGGAGCTTGGCTAGCAAGATGGGGCAGGGGAATGCTGGCCCTGCTGCTACAGCATGGGCTGAGCCAAAGCTCTGGGCTCAGGTTTTGTTCCCAAAGTTTCTTGATCCATTACTTGGAGCTCTGTGTGCCCCCAGCCCCGTTCGGCGACGGGCAGCTCCTGCCCTGCCCCATCTGCTCGGCCGGGACGCTCCGTGGCTGCCGGGCACCTCCAGTATCCCCTGGCTGGATCTTGAGGCTGTTGGGTTCTGGTAATAGATCACATTTTTGGAAGTGAATAGTGGTAATTACTACTGTAATTTTGGGGAGTTTCAGGGCCATGACAACTGCTTTTAATTTTCCATGGCTGGGGTGGGAAACTCACCTGCCCTGGTGCCTGCATTTGCTCGTGACACAGGAGCACTGACCCTTCCCACCCTGGAACAATGACAGCTACCTCTTCATTACTGTTTTCCCTTGGCTGTAATTCTCACAGCTCTTCCCAAATCTCAATCCTGCAGTTGCAGGGTATTTTTACACACAGTTTTTGTGTATAACGTGATTAGCTGCTGAATGCGATCTGCTCCGTTACAATTAGAGGAGTGAAGATGTAGATCTTAACACTTGAGCCACATTCCTCATTTATTACTTTTCAAAGACTTTGGTGGGGGGGCGGGGGGGGTTGTTGTTTATGTGTTTACAAATCCAATAACAATCCTCATTAAGAGTTGCAAAACATGAAGCCATTTTGATCCCAGGCAGATGGCAGCTAAATGAAGTTTAATTAAAGAATGAGAGCTTTGATTCACATCATTTTTTAAAAAAATACAGTGCACCAAGATGCTAGAGAAGGGCATAAACAGCATCTGGGCTTTTATTCAGAAACCCAAATGCATTTGTGAGGAAACAGTTTGCAAATTCGGAGCGATTGCGGGTTGCTGGCTGCAGCTCGAGGGGCTGGTGCGGCCGGAACCTCCTTCCCCTGATGCCAATAACGCAGCCAAGCACAAGGTCTTGCTTCCTTCTCTGGATTTTTTTTTTTTATTATTTTTTATTTTTATTTTTGAAGCATTCAGCTGATGCCAAGGGAAGACTTGATTTGAGATACAACCAAGGCTGTTGGTTTCAGGCTGTTCTCCAGCAGTCATTACACCCTACGTGTTCTGTGCCCCGTCCAGCAGCGCGTGAAGCTGCATGTCTGGTGTATACGTTACGTGAGTCCTACACAGCTCACAGCATCTTGCTTATCAAAGCGGTGCGAGGGGCAGGACAGCCCAGTAAATGCTTTTCCATATCAGAATTCTCTGTGGTCCCAGTGAGAAGTGGGCACTGGTTTCTGTGTGGGCATTTTCTCCAGCGCAGCGCTCACTGGAGCCTTTCAGGGGTGGCAGCTGTTTGACAGTGCAGTGACTTTTATTCATTTCATGGGTCTACGAGTTCTGTGGCCTTCAGCCCTGGCTTTCCTTCCCCCATATAACTTGTGTGTGTGTGTATATATATGTGTGTGTGTGTGTATATATATATATATCATAGAGTCATAGAATGGTTTGGATTGGAAGGGACCTTCAAGCTCATCCAGTTCCAACCCCCCTGCCATCAGCAGGGACACCTTCCACTAGACCAGGTTGCTCAAAGCCTCATCCAGCCTGGAATTCAACACTTCCAGGGAGAGGGCATCCACAACTTCCTTGGGCAACCTGTTCCAGTGTCTGACCACCCTCACAGTGAAGAACTTCTTCCTAATATCTCATCTAAACCTCCCCTCTTTCAGCTTAAACCCATTTCCCCTTGTTTTGTCATTAACTGCTCTTATGAAAAGTCCTTCCCCAGCTTTCTTGTAGCCCCTTCAGGTACTGGGAGGCCACTAGAAGGTCTCCCTGGAGCCTTCTCTTCTCCAGGCTGAACAGCCCCAACTCTCTCAGCCTGTCCTCACAGCAGAGGTGCTCCAGCCCTCAGATCATCCTTGTGGCCTCCTCTGGACTTGTTCTAACTGGTCCATGTCTTCCTTGTGTTGAGGGCTCCAGGTGGGGCCTTACGAGAGCAGATTAGAGGGGGAGAATCCCCCCCCTAGACCTGCTGGTCACGCTTCTCTTGATGCAGCCCAGGATACGGTTATTGGCCTTCTGGGCTGCAAGTGCACATTGTCTGGTCGTGTTCAGCTTCTCACTCACCACCACTCCCAAGCAGATGTAAAGCTTTTCAATATCTCTCTCTCCCATGTAACTTATATACAACATCTAACTTGTGCCTTGCCATTTCTTGGATTATTCTCTCAGGTTAATGGCTCAAACACCATTCACTTTAAATTGGTAATCCTATTGATTAAGATTACCTAATCCAGAGAAAGAAACCCCGCTGATGTGCCTGTGCTGCTGGCTAGGAGAGCGGGTGGGCAGTGGTGGTGCTGGAGGCTCCAGGGTCAGTCGGGGGGATGGAGCTGCGGTGCTGTAATTCATGAAGACGCTGCCAGTGGAATATCGAAGTCTTTTGTTAAATGAATGTATTAACCAGCTGTCTCAGGCTCAGATTAAGAGGTCCACGGGGTATAAAGGCAGATTGATGTAACTGAACTGGCACACTCTCATGCGAAGATTAATGTCTTTTCATGAGTGGGGTTTTTTGAGGAGTGATGTTGAAGTGGAATGAATCTCTGTGAGCCATCATTAAAGTTATTTATAATTTTTTTCCCCGATAAGATTATGAAATGGGCACTCCTAGAAGGGACAGGCCAAATCCCCAGCAAGACCATTCATCTTACTTAAAATGGTTTCATAGTCCTCATGGCAGCATCTGGGATCTCATTGCTGCCTCGGGGTTTGGAGACACAGGGCTGTGGCACATCCACTGCCATCGGCACGTTTGGGGAGGAGATGGCTCTGCCACTTTGCCCTGTTCTGCTAATGGCAGCTGGTGGTAGAGAAGACTGAGGAACATC